TAATTAATTAATTGAAAATTATTGCCCTATTCAAGCTGGGCAAGTAAATTTAATCTCTGAGTTTGTCTGGCATGAGTTTGCCATCACGGAAGGGCAGTACCCCCTTCTAATTTGGGGGTGTGGGTGTGGGGGGGAGAACCTGAATTTTGTTGGAGACACTGGGTGTGAGCCAGAGGGTTGGGTCTGTTTCATTCCAGGCCAGTGAGTCACATCTGGCCCATCACATGACCCTGGCACGCACATGACCCTGGACCAGACCCAACCAAATGTGAAACACCTAGGCCTCTCTCTCAGCTGCTGGCAGGAGAGGGCCCTGTTTCTACATCTCAGCCAGCAGTGACCTCCGCATGATTCAGAGAGGCAGAGTCTGACTCAGGCCCTGCCAGGAGAAGGCCTCTTCCTGAGCTGCAGCCTCCTTGTGGAGAGTTCTCCCTGCCCGCCCCCAGGCTGCCTGTGGTTATTCATAATCCAGTCCCCAGGCATCAAGGTCAGAGCTGTGCTCTCTCGCACAGCACGCTGCACACTGTCCGACAGAAACATCCTGTCCTGCGCCTCCCCTCCCTCCGGAGACAGCCCTCCTGTCCAAGCTCCGGCAGAAGGTCTGCTGTTCTTTGTCAGCCACTTTTGATTGATGCCTGCCTCAGGTCTGCCTCCTCCTCCTCCTCCTCCCCTTCCCCCTAACAAGGAAGCGCCTCTGTGTTTACAACTCCTAACAGTTCCTGGTTGTCCTTTCAGGAAATGTCAGTGACCTTCTTATGATAGGCTTCAAATCTGTTTTTCTAATGTAAACATAATAAATTTCACCGTTCCCATGACCTGGCCGGTTCTCTTCCTTCCCCACTGCTAACATCCTGAATCGCATTCTCTCTAATCCATCAGTGTCTGGGTGGCATCTATGGCAATGAAAAGTACCCTTGTACAGGCTTCTCGAGTCCCCACCCTCGGTGGGGTTTTCTGTTGGTTTGGTTTTTGGTACTGAGAAGTGGAACCCAGGCTTGCTTTATGTACTAGGCCACTGGGCTGCATCACTCTACCTGTGTGTGTGTGCATGTGTCTGTGTGCGTGCGTGTGTGTCTGTGTGTACGTGCGTGTGGTGTGTGCGTGCCTGTGTGTCTTGTGTGCGTGTGCGCACGTGAACACATGCACAGTTTATTTGTGTATGTGTAAGTACATCTGCACATGTACATTCTTGTGTGGAGGCCCCCATCAACTTCCAGTGTTGTCCACCTTGTTTTTTTGAAATAGGGCCTCAATGGGACCTAAGGCTTGCTGTTCTCCAGCCAGCCAGCCATGGGGATCCTCCTGTCCCTGCCTCCCCAGCCCCGTAGTTGCAAGCATGTATCTGTATCACAATACAAGCATGTATTACAATATTATATGTATTTGTAATACAATACAAGCATGTATTACAAATGGTTCTGGGAATCAAACTCAGAATCTCAGGCTCACGCAGCGAGCACTATATGGGCTAAGCTGTCTCCCCAGTGTCTTCTCTCAGACTTTTCCTTCAAGGTGGGGTCTCACCAAGTTCCCTAGGCTGGCCTTGAACTAATGGTGTAGCCAAGGCTGTCTTAGAATTTACAGTTCTCCTGCTTTGGCCTCCCAGGTAACCGAGGCTAAAGGCCCGGACCATACCAGTGAATTCCTTGGTCGTTGGATACACTTGGTGGCCACAGACTATGTCCTTTAATTTTTGTATCCCCCCCACACAGCCTCCATTATAATGCCTTGTACTTTGGCCAAGTAAAGACTTGGTGGTGGCCTGGTGTGGTGATGCAGGCCTGAGTGGTTGGATCAAAGGTTCTGGGCCAACCTAGACTCCATGTAGCTTGGTTTGTAGAGATTCAGGAAGGCTTGGCTTCTGTCCCCAGCACCACATAAAATACACCCTGGTGGCACATGCACACCTCTTTTCTTTAATTTTTTATTTTTATGTACATTGTTGTGAGGGTGTCGGTTCCCTGCAACTAGAGTTACAGACAGTTATGAGCCGCCACGTGGGTGCTGGAAACTGAGCCTTGGTCCTCAGCCGGTGCTCTTAACTGCTGAGCCATCTCTTCAGCCCTGCTTGCCCACCTTTAAGCCTAGCACTTGGGAGGTGGAGGAAGGATGGCCAGAAGTTCTCTGACTACATCTGACCAGTTGGAGACCAACCTGGGCTACAAGAGAACCCACCTAAAAAGACAAACGAAAGGGACTTAGTTGTGGGGGGATGGCTAGCATGCAGAAGGCCCTAGGGGTCTGAACAGGGAGAATCCTGAGGTTAAGGAGAGCAAACAGTAGGAAGGGTTTATTAAAGCAGGCTGGAGTGGCTGGGATAGAGCTCAGTCAGTACAGTATTCATGGACCATGCATGAAGCAAGCTGGGGTTCGACCCCAGCATGCATAGAAAGGGACGTGGTCTCTACCACTTGTAATCCTAGCACTCGGGAAGTGGAGGCCCTGGGATTAGGAGCTCAAGGTCATCCTTAACCATGTGGCTAATTCGAGGCCAACCTGGACTATTTGAGACCCTGTCTCAAAAATAACGAAGGGGGAAAGCAGACCGACTCAAAACCAAATCAAGCCATGAATGAGCAGATGCTCAGTGGGCGCTGACTGCCTGGGAAACCTGGTCCTGTCTAAGAGCTATTGTTTGCTCCAGGATCCAGCTCTGCTGTCTGGTCCCCTCTCATCTTTCCTTGGACGTCACCCTCTTAGATACTGCTTGTTGTTTTATAAGGGCATCTGGAGAGCCCTGACTCAAAGGTCCAGCAGCGGGATGACTGGAAATGACCTCGTCTGCAGTGTCTGGCCTTGTAAGAAGCAGTTCATCACCCAGGAGCAGCCTCCCCTCACTGCTCGCTCCGTGGCTTGGCGTCTGCCCCTCTCTACACTCTGCCATCACCTGTGATGGCGCGTTCACGGCAGTTCCTCCAAACTTGACAGGGATACCTTTGTGCTGGGCACGCACGTGCAGATGCACGATCCTCACTTAAATCCTTTGTATTTTATTATTGGACAGGTGCAGGTGTCCTGCCTGTATGTGTACGTCTGTGTACCTTGTGGGTACAGTGTATGTCTGGAACCTGGGTTACAAATGGCTGTGACCCACCGTGTGGGTGCTGAGAATCCAGAGCAGGTCCTCCAAGAGCTGCGGCCAATGCTCTGAACTACTGAGCCACCTCTCCAGCCCCTTATCTTTATTCATTTACTTTTTTTGAGACAGGGTCCACAGTCCTGGCTGACCTTGAACTTGCTGTATAGCCAAGGATGGTCTCCACCTCTCCATAGCTGCGGTTGCAGTTCTCAGCCACCACACCTGGGTTCTGCAGGGCTTCATGAAGCATTCTACCGCCTGAGTTATGGTCCCAGAAGCTACTCAATGTGTCAAAGCCAAAGAGGCCTCAGTATCAGAGATGCTCTTAACGTGTGTCTGCGGTCTCTTATTTTCCTGGTCTAATTTATTTGTTTTGGCTTGGCTGGCTTTGTTTTAAGATGAGGGCAATAAATCTACCCCAGAGTAAAATTTAAAGTAGAAAACAAGGAGGACCTGAGAGGCTGAGGAGATGGTTCAATGGATAAAGGCACTTGCCACCAAGCCTAACGACCAGAGTTGGATCTGTATGGTGGGAGGAGAGAACTGAGCCCTGGAAGTTGTCCTCTGACCTCCACGTGTGCACCATATAATATGCATGCAATAAGTAAATAAATTTAATTTGAGAAAGGGAAGCATGAAGCCCCTGCCAGGTCAAGCCCCCTGATTTCCCATTAGGACCTCTCCGCACCAGAAGACCAAGTGACTAGGAGGAAGAAATCTTTCTTTTCTATTGTAATCCCACAGGGTGTGTGTGGGTAGACCTGGCTCTCCAGGGAGTTAACAGCAAGCCCAGAAGCATGGCTGTGAGCCCATGTCATTCTATTTCGTGGTCAAACTTGACTCCTTCCTGCTTGATTAAAAGATCTTGGAAGAAGAAAGCCTGGGCTGTTTCTTTATCCAGATATGGCTTCCCGAAAGGGGGCAGGGCAGGGCGGCTGTCCTCTTCCACCCACAACCCCATCCTTCTGCTGAGAGAGAAAGGCAGCTGGCTTCCAGATTCCAGCTACTCGATGTTCGCCTGTCTCTGGTTGTCGTCGTCAGCTCTAGTCAAGGACCCCGTTTCTGCCTTATCTTGTGCTTGGCGGAGTTCACGGACCTCAGGATATGCCGCCTTAGATGAAGAAGACCAGCAGGAAGTGGGATGTGGCTGAGTATCTCAGCTCCCAGAAGTCACCCCTTGGCCTACGGGCCGAGCACCGGACAGGATCTGACCAGGCTAGAAGAGACGTCCAGATGACAGGCTCTTCTGCCCCTTCTCCAGAGTCGCTGACAGGGTCACAATGTGTCTGTCTCTCATTCCAAGTGTACAGAATGTTCTCATTTACGTTTTTTCCCTGATATTAGGAATTAGCTTTTGGTAGAGATTTTTAAACTTTTCATTTTATTTATTTATTTATTTAGTGTATGGGACACAAGTGCCCCAGTGCGCATGGAGGTCAGACCCAAATTTGCAGGAATCATTTCTCCCCTTCTATTGTGTGAGTCTCTGGTTCTCCGGTCATCAAGCACTGCAACAAGCTTCTATACCCACTAAACCATCTTGCTGGTCTTTGGCAGAACTTTAATGTTGTGTAATATTCCCCCCACCCCCATATTAGGGATAGACCCTAGGGCCTTATGTATGCTAAGCCAACCAATTTTCAAATGATAAACCACACCTCAGCCACCCACTGGTGGATTCTAGGCAGGGGCTCTACCACTGAGCCACACCCCAGCCCCTCACTGGGGGATTCTAGGCAGGGGCTCTACCACTGAGTCACACCCCAGCCCCCCACTGGGGAATTCTAGGCAGGGGCTCTACCACTGAGCCCACTCCGGCCCTGGCATGGGTTGAGACTGTCTTATGTGCTGTTGTTTTGTTTCTCCTTCCTTACTCAATGCGTACATTGCCCTGGCTCACCTCTCTATCTCTGCCCTACAGGAGAGGCCTGAACCCCCCACATCGAGTCAAGTCCATCTCCATGACAACCTTCACTGAGCCTGAAGTCTTGTTCCTCCAGTCTCATGGGAATGAGGTGAGCAGCCGCCACTGAGGGAGGAGGTAGCAGACTGTGGCTCGTCCACTTGCTAGCAAAACTTTGCCTCAGGATGGTTGGAAAACCCAGTAGTTTCCTTTGAATTTCTTTTACCTTTATCTATTTAGAACATGTGTCTGTCTATCTGTCTGTCCGTCCATCTGTGGTAGGGGGAAGACAAGGTTCTCTTCCTTTACCATCTGGGTCCTAGGGATCCAGTTCAGGCCATCAACTTACCTTACCAGCCCCCAACAAGTTTCTTCTGGGATGGATTTCTCTTCATAGTTTTAGTATATGCTATCACTTGCTTTACATATGTTTTTTTTTTTTTTTTTGGTTTTTCGAGACAGGGTTTCTCTGTGGTTTTGGAGCCTGTCCTGGAACTAGCTCTTGTAGACCAGGCTGGTCTCGAACTCACAGAGATCCGCCTGCCTCTGCCTCCCGAGTGCTGGGATTAAAGGCGTGCGCCACCACCGCCCGGCCCTACATATGTTGTATTTTATGTATGGCCTGAACTGCTTACTATTCATGTATAAACTGTGTGGCAGGAGCGCGGTCTGATTTGTAAGTGCCTGCAGAGCCCCCTATAGTTGATCTTGGAAGACTTGGCCTGAGGTCACTAACCAGAGGTCTACCAACGGTGCTGTTCACACACTAATGCATTCATACACTCCACCGCTTCCGTCCTTCCAGGTTTGCCGCAAGATCTGGCTGGGTCTCTTTGATGCTCGGACATCGCTGATACCCGATTCCAGGGATCCTCAGAAGGTGAAGGAGTTCCTCCAGGAAAAATACGAGAAGAAAAGATGGTAAGGAGCAAGGGGGAGACCCAGGTCTGAAACACCTTGTTCGGCAGCCCCATTTCCAAAGTATTGCTGGCATTTTTAAGATCAGGTTTCAGCTGGGTCTGCTCCTCACCCTGACTCCCAGATTCAGTTGGTGTTAAATTCCGACTTCAAATAACAAATTGAAACTGAACATATTGGTTCATGCCTGTAACCCCAGTTCTTGGGAGAGTGAGGCAGGAGGATCAGAAATTTCTTTAAAAAAAAAAAAAAGATTTATTTATTCCGTATATGACATTCTGCCTCCATGTATTCTCGCATGCCAGAAGAGGGCACCAGATATCATTACAGACGGTTGTGAGCCACCATATGGTTGCTGGGAATTGAACTCAGGACCTCTGGAAGAGCAGTCAGTGCTCTTAACCTCTGAGCCATCTCTCCAGCCCCCAGAAATTTCAAGTCATAGCTGGGCAGTGGTGGCATATGCTTTTAGTCTCAGCACTCAATAGGCAGAGACAGGTGGCTCTCTCTGAGTTCAAGGCCAGCCTAGTTTACAGAGCTAATTCTAGGACAGCCAGAATGACACAAATAAGCCCCGTCTCAAAAACCAAACAAACAAATGAAAATGAAATTCAAGGTCATTGGCTACTTTGTGAGCTCTGAGCAAGCCTGGGCTACATGAGACCCTGTGTCAAATTAATAAAATGACAAATTGACGTGAAAAAAAAAAGAAACTTGTTATGTGTGTCACTAACCCTACAGTTCTGTTTGAAACATGTAGCCCAGGCTAACCCTGAACTCCCTACATCCCAAGGATGACCCTGAATTTTAGATCCTCCTGCTGCTGCCTGCTGAGTGCTGGGATTACGAGTGTGCACCACCACAGTTGGCTTATGTGGTGTTGAGAATCGAACCCGGGACCTCATGCCTGTTCGGTGGGTGTGTTACCCGCTGAGCCAAATTCGTAGCCCTAACCCTGCGGTTTTGATGTCCTTCTTGTTGAAAATGATCGGATCGAGCAGGTAGATCTGTCCACATGCACTAGTTTCTACGGCTCAGTAGATCTTGTCTACACACGTGTGCATGCGTGTGCCAGGGCGCTTATGTAGAGGTCAGGTAACAACTTTGTGGAGCAGGTTCTCCTACCAGGTGGATCTCAGGGATCGAACTCTGGTCATCAGTCAGGCTTGGCAGCAAGCACCTTAGCCACTGAGCCAAGTCCAGCCCTCCATCTGTTTTTACGGCAGCGTCTTTGAGTAAACCTGTCACCGGCTGCCCCTTGAGCCCCTGGGACCACTCGTCTCCCCCCTAGAGCTGGGGTTAAAGATATGCTTGCCACACGCCTAACCTTAGGTGGATGTTGGGGGCTGTGAACGCAAGTCCTCCTGGTTATACAGCAAGCATTTTACCCACTGAGCCTGAGACCACTTCCTTGGGGTGTCCTGACATTAAGATGCTTCCAGAATAAGGGGTGTATGCAGGGAGTAGGAAGGAGCTAGAGGTCAGGACAGGCTGAGCTCCTTGCTGAACAAGGTACAGACATTCTCTGTGGGATCGAGAGGGAGAAGTCAGGAAATCTGGTGTGCGGGTGTTGATCCTAGCTGTACCAGAGGGAGTTCAGGGCTAGCCCAGGCAACGTAGTGAGACCCTGTCTCAAAAGAAAAAGTGCAGAAAAGGCTTCCTTGTAACCTGTGGGAGGCCCTGGCTTCGCTCTCTAGCGCTAAGAGAGAGGCAGAGACAGGGAGAGCCCCAGAACGTAAAGGAAGGGGGGGGGGGGGGCTGGAGAGACATATAGACCCAGTGGTTAAGAGCACTGACTGCTCTTCCAGAGGACCTGAGTTCAGTTCCCAGCAGCCACGTGGTGTCTCCCAATCATCTATAGTCATCTATAGTGGGATCTGATGCCCTCTTCTGGTGTAAAGGTATACATGCAGATTAGAACACTCATATATACATAAAATAAACAAATCTTTAAAAAAAGGAAGAAGAAGCTGGAAAATAAGAAAACTGCTCCATCCGTACTGTTGTGTGTATGATTAACTAAAACCAAGACGGTTTGAGATGTCAAAAGAGGGAGAGAGAAATCCTGTTTTGTTTTTTTAAACATGTATAATGTTCTGCCTGCATACCAGAAGAGGGCACCAGATTTCATTATAGATGGTTGTAAACCACTATGTAGTTGCTGGGACCTGAACTCGGGACCTCTCCAGTCCTTTTTTTTTTTTTTTGGTTTGTCAAGGCAGGGCTCTTCTGTGTAGCCCTGGCCATCCTGGAACTCAGTTGTAAACCAAGCTGGCCCTGAACGCAGAGTTCCTCCTGCCTCTGCCTGGTACTGGGATTAATGGCACCCACCACCACCTGGTGAAATTCATTATTTTTTTTTAAATTTAAATTTATGCCGGGCAGTGGTGGCGCCCACCTTTAATCCCAGCACTCGGGAGGCAGAGGCAGGCGGATCTCTGTGAGTTCAAGACCAGCCTGGTCTACAAGAGCTAGTTCCAGGACAGGCTCCAAAACCACAGAGAAACCCTGTCTCAAAAAACCAAAAAAATGCCAGGCGATGGTGGCGCACGCCTTTAATCCCAGCACTCGGGAGGCAGAGGTAGGCGGATCTCTGTGAGTTCGAGACCAGCCTGGTCTACAGAGCTAGTTCCAGGCTCCAAAGCCACAGAGAAACCCTGTCTCGAAAAACCAAAAAAAAAAAAAAAAAAAAAAAAAAAACCAAAAAAATAGATAAATAAATAAATAAATTTAAATTTATGCTAAATTTAAAAATTCTTAAATTCTTTGAAGAACGGCTGGGTGGTGGTAGTGACACTCCTTTAATCCCAGCACCCAGGAGGCAGAGGCAGGCGGATCTCTGTGAGTTCGAGGCCAGCCTGGTCTACGAACTAGTTCCAGGACAGGCTCTAAAGCTACAGAGAAACCCTGTCTTGAAAAACAAAACAAAAAAAAAATTCTTTAAAGAGTCCGGGTGTGGCACATACCTTTAATTCAAGGCCAGCCTGGTCTATGGAGTGAGTTGTGGGATAGTTATATTAAAGACTTGTCCACAACCCAGAGAAAACTGGACATTCCTGAGGGGAAATATTTATCAAATTCTGGGCATGGTAGTATATGCCTGGAATCCCAGCTCTCTGGGATTGAGGCAGGAGGATCGGTTGAGAGTCATTTATGGGTACATTGTGACACCACGTCTCAAAAAGCCAAAACACTGATGGCAAGATAGCTTAGCAGGGCAAGGCACCTTGGGACCCACATGGTGGACGGAGAGAACAGATTCCTGCAAGTTGTCCTCTGACCGTCAGCGGCACACATGCCTGTACACTCGGACTTGCACATGTGACACATGCATGCACACGCACATAACAATAAAAAATCCTTTAACATAGAGATGCATTAAGATACCTGGGGACAGCTGGGTATGGTAGCTCATGGCCAAACAATCTGGGGGTGTGGCTCAGTGGTAGAACATTTATCTTAGAATCCCCCAGTGAGGAGCTGGGGTGTGGCTCAGTGGTAGAGCCCCTGCCTAGAATCCCCCAGTGAGGAGCTGGGGTGTGGCTCAGTAGTAGAGCCCCTGCCTAGAATCCCCCAGTGAGGGGCTGGGGTGTGGCTCAGTGGTAGAGCCCCTGCCTAGAATCCCCCAGTGAGGGGCTGGGGTGTGGTTCAGTGGTAGAGCACTTACCTTGCATGCACAAAGCCCAGCTCACAGAAGAGACGCACTCAAGAGAACATTGTTAGGTCACTAAATACTTTTTATTCATACTTTAGGTGAAGCAACAATAAAAACTTTGTAACTTGTGTTTTCTCAACCACCTCAGCTGAGCACGGTCCAAAATTTTCGCTCTTTCATTAGGATAACTGTTTTTTCTCATAGGTACGTCCCCCCGGAGCAAGTCAAAGGACCCTCTTATAGCAAAGGCAATGCCTCTACGCCTGTCCAGGGCTCTGTACCAGAAGGGAAGCCCGTGCGGACACTTCTGGGAGAACCTGTGCCATCTCTCTCTGATGCTGCTTCCTCTTCGAGCCAGGTAAGCCTCTAACCTGATCCTCCCCTTCCCACTGAGGTTTGGTTTAGATTGTGTGGAACTGGGCATTGCTTTCCAAAGTCAGATCCTCTGGGTTTAGCAAACCAGCAGTCCAGGAACTGGAAGCTGATTCTCAGCCCTGCTACCACCTCTAATTTGTGTCTGGTATCCGGGGACCCCAGCAGGAAGTGGTATCGAATGACCTCAGTCCTAACCCTCCCTTCTGAGGAGCCAGGACAGCGCTTCCTTATCTGACAAAGACCTGGAATTGAGAGCCCCTGGACACTGGACAGCCCATTGCCGCCTGTCTTAGGGCTACCTCTATGGGCTCTCAAAAACCTGATTTTGGGGGCTGGAGAGATGGCTCAGCGGTTAAGAGTATTGCCTGCTCTTCTAAAGGTCCTGAGTTCAATTCCCAGCAACCACATGGTGGCTCACAGCCATCTGTAATGGGGTCTGGTGCCCTCTTCTGGCCTGCAGGCATATATGCAGACAGAATATTGTATGCATAATAAATAAATAAATATTAAAAAAAAAAACCAACCTGGTTTTGGGGGCCGATATTCTGAGAGGATCAGCTGAGAGTTACAAGAGGTACTTAGAGGTCTGAGGAACCTGACACACTCTTTCGGCTCCCACAGGCACCAGATACACACATGGTATACTTATATAAATGCAGATAAAGCACCCATACATATAAAATTAAAAGGAAGAGAGCCATGCAGTGGTGGCACAGCCTTTAATCCCAGCACTTGGGAGGCAGAGGCCAGTGAATCTCTGAGTTCAAGGACAGCCTGGTGTACAGAGGAAGTTCCAGGACAGCCAGAGCTGAAACAGAGAAACCTTGTCTCAAGAAACAAAAACAAAATTAAAAGGAAGGAAAGAAAAGGGAGGAAAAAAGAGGCACTTAGGTGATTTCTGAATGGGAACCCTCTCAGCCCATGCCACCACCTTACCCAGCCTTCTCCCTGCTTGGCCGGGGGCAGCCTGGGGAGCTCTGGAGGGGCCCAGGTCACGGGTGGGATTCTGACTGCCACACACAATTCTTCCCCCAAATCTGCCAACCAGTCCCAGGTTCGTACAGCCCAGGCCAGAAGCTCCCAGCCTCCTTCCCAGTCGTCCACCAAGAAAGCCAGCACCGACCTGCTGGCCGATATCGGCGGGGACCCCTTCGCTGCTCCCCAGGCGGCTCCAGCCTTTGCTGCCTTCCCAGCCTTTGGAGGTAAGTGCCACCTGCGCTGAGAACCTGTCTCCACCACATATATTACTACAAAGACATTCAGTCCACTGGGGCCTGACCCTTCTGTGGGGCTGGAAGAACAAGGGTCAAGAGATAGCATGGGCTCTATTTGGAAGTTTAGCCCTACAGCATATGAGTGGGGATCCCGAGTACCTCTTTTAACAGTCAGAGGACCCATTTGATGACTTTATCCCTGCTACAGAAGGGGGCCAGGTATAGTGGTGTTGGCCTGTATTTGTGATACCTGGGAGGCTGAAGCAGGAGAATAAAAAGCTGAATAACTTTTTCCGTGTTTGCTGTGCATTTTCACGCGTGTGCACTTGAAACCAGAGAACTACCTTGCCCGTTGTTCCTCCGCTACCAGCCACCTTTTTTTTCTTTATATTTTTTTTTTAACTCAGTGTGACTGTTTCACATTCTGTGTGTCTGCGTACCTCATGTGTGCCTGGAGCCCACAGAGATCAGAAAAGGACTTTATAGTCTCTGGGACTGGAGCTACAGACGGCTGTGAGTCACCGTGTGAGTGCCGGCCGGCCATCCCCAGTCCTCTGCAAGAGCAGGTGCTCTTCACCATTAGCACCGGCCTTTTTAATTACAATGAAGCAAACAAAAATCAGTTCTCACTGGCCTGGAACTTGCCATGTCTGCTAACCTGGCTAGCCAGTGAGTCTCAGGGATCCACCTGTCTCTGTGTCTCCAGTGCTGGGATTATAAGCGTATCACATGAATTCTGGGGACAGAGCTACCCTCTGGCAGAGGGAGACAGACAGACAGACGCATTTTGCATCTGTTTTGGAGACAGGGTCATGCTATGTAGCTCAGGCTGGCCTCAAACTCATGATTTTCCCACTCCAGCCTCCTGAGTGCTGGGGTCACAGGTGTGAGCCACCATGCTTGGTGTTTTAGGTTTCTGTTGCTATGATTAAAACACTGACCAAACCAGTTGGGGGAGGAAAGGGTTGCTTGGGTTCACAGTCCCTTGAAAGAAGTCCTAGCAGGAACTCAAGGCAGGAACTGAAGCAGGAACTCGGGAGAGATCTGCTTGCAGGCTTGTTCTTTGTGGCTTGTTCAGCCTGCTTTCTGTTTTTGTTCTGTTTGTTTTAAAATTTTGAGGCAGGGCCGCATGTATAGCTCTGGCTGGCCTGGAACATACTGTGTAGACGGGTCAGCCTGCTTTCTTATATAACCCGGGACCGCCTGCCCAGGCTGGCACTGCCTTCATATTAATCAAGAAAATGTCCCCACAGGCTTACCTGTGGTCAGTCTGATGGAGGCACTTTCTCGTTTGTTTTGATGGCAGGGTGGGGAAGTCTCTACAGCCTTGGCTGTCCTAGAACTCACTATGTAGACCAGGATAGCCTTGAATTCACAAAGACCCCCCTGCCTCTGCCTCCCAAACGCTGGAATTAAGAGTGTGCACCACCATGTATGGTGGAGGCGTCTTCTCAATTTGAGGGTCTTCTTGCTAAATGACTTTAACTTGTTTCAAGTTGGCAAACTAGTCAGCTGTGGTTGTTTGAAAGAAAATGGCCCCCAAAGGGACTGGCACTATAGGAGGTGTGGCTTTGTTGAGGTGGGTGTGACCTCGTCAGAGGAAGTGTGTCACTCTAGGGGCGGGCTTTGAGGTCTCCTATGCTAAAGCTACTCCCAGCGAAACAGTCCATTTTCTGATCCAAATGTAGCCAGCGCCAGGACTTCCAGCGTGCCACCATGCTGATAATGGACCGGACCTCTGAACTGTAAGCCGCCACCTCAGTGAAATGTTTTCCTCTGAGAGTTGTGGGTCACGGTGTCTAAGACATCAACACATCTGGCTATGTATACATTTCCTGCATGCAGCCTTTGTGTTCCCTCCGCCCATAGGCCAGACTCCTTCCCATGGGGGCTTCGCCAACTTCGATGCCTTCAGCAGCAGCCCCAGCACTTCGGCCTTCGGGAGCCTCCCCGCATCGGTCCAGACTCCATTCCAGGCTCAGCCAGCCCCTGCAGGTAAACTCCTTGCCCATTTCCTGCCTCTCTTCCAGTAACATCAGCATCCGCGTTCATGCATCACCTCTGCGTTCTTCTCTCCTTCACATCCCCAGTGATCGTAAAATAGGCTGAAAAACTGCTTCTCCTTGAAGGGTAGAGCCTGGGGCTGCCCTGTCACAGAGGGTGCTGTGGTCCTATTTTTCACATAAAATCAGTATCAGCACAGATTCTACCCCAAGACAGTTTTCTTTTTTTAAAAAAAAATATTTTATTTTGCCGGGTGGTGGTGGTGCAGTCCTTTAATCGCAGCAGAGGCAGGCGGATGTCTGTGAGTTCGAGACCAGCCTAGTTTACAGACCGAGTACCAGAGCAGGCTCCAAAGCTACAGAGAGAAACCCTGTCTTGAAAAACCAAAAAAAAAAAATTGATTTTGCATATTTGTTGTGTGTGTGCACACTCAGGCAGGTCCGTGTGTGCCGTGGCACTTGTGTAGAGGTCACGTGACAACTTTCATGAGGTCGCATAACGAGTGTCTTACCTGCTCGGCCATCTCACTGCTCCTCCGACCCAGTCAGGAAGTTTCTGGGAAGCCTGGAAGCCTGAGTCCTACTACAGTGTGTACATCCTGTTCTTATTGTCTGTAATATCCTGCCCCAAAGGGTCAAGTGGCTAGGTCAAGTTGGAGGTGATCCCCATGCATCCACACAGACCCCTTCCAACATCAAAGGTCTTTAAAACCGAGTCTTGTATTTTTAGGAATCGCAGGAGACTTTGGGTCCCTTTCAAGCCTCCAGTTCTTTCCAAAGCCCCCAGACATCCGTCTTCACAGCCTTAAGCTGCCTCTCTTCCTTCGGCTGTTCTGGACACCAGGAGTTGGCAGCTGAGGGCCGTAGAGACCAGCTGTCTAGGGACAAGCCAATGACTCACGCTCTTTTCCCCCTCTGCCCTCCCTTCTCCACCCTCATTAGCAGCCAGCCGGATGCTAACTGGAAGTTACAGCTTTGGTGAGTCCTTTGCAGCCCCCAGCCTACTCAAGGTCCACTGAGCCACACCCCAGCCCCTCACTGGGGGATTCTAGGCAGGGGCTCTACCACTGAGCCACACCCCAGCCCTCACTGGGGGATTCTAGGCAGGTGTTCTACCACTGAGCCACACCCCAGCCCCTCTCTGGGGGATTCTAGGCAGGGGCTCTACCACTGAGCCACACCCCAGCCCCTCACTGGGGGATTCTAGGCAGGGGCTCTACCACTGAGCCACACCCCAGCCCCTCACTGGTCTTGAACTTTCAGTCCTCGTGCCTTCTCCGTTTTATACTGATAAACGTGAAAATCCAGACTGATGAGATTGTCTGTTAAAGGTGCACACTGCCAATCCTGACCTCACAGTCCAGTCCCAGAAACTCACAGGTGGAAGAAAAGAATCAGCTGAGGGAAGTTGTCCTCAGAGCTTCACCTGGCATCGTGCTCTCCCAGACACACACTAATAAACACAGAACGTAGAAAGAAAGTTACCTTAAAATCTGTACAAAGGGGCTGGAGAGATGGCTCAGAGGTTAAGAGCACTGACTGCTCTTCCAGAGGTCCTGAGTTCAATTCCCAGCAACCACATGGTGGCTCACAGCCATCTATAATGAGATCTGGTGCCCTCTTCTGGCATACAAACATACATGAAAGGAATGTTGTATACATAATAAATAAATAAATAAATCTTAAAAAAAAAATCTGTACAAAGGTTCCCGTAAGTGTGTAAAGAAAGTAACTGGCGGTTCAACCTTGACACTGACCAAGCACAGACTACTAGACATAATTGTAGTAATAAGAGTGGCGGGGCTGCGTCCCCAGCACTCCAGCTGCCCACATGGCTAGCTTATGCTCCGAAATAACAACACACAAACTGTATTCATTTAAACACTGCTTGGCTCATTAGCTCTAGCCCTTACAGGCTAATTCTCACATCCCGATCAACCCATCTCTAATAATCTGTGAGCACCGGTCTTACCGGGAAAGGTTCAGCATGTCTAACCTGGCGGCTTGCTTCATCGCGTGCGTCTGCCCGGGAGAGTGGAGCATGGCATCTCTCTGAGGCATCTGCTCCCGAGAAGAGAGCTGTGGAGTCTGAGCTCACTTCCTCTTCCTCCCAGCGTTCTGTTCTGTTTACCCCTCCACCTATCTTCTAACCAATGAGGGCCAAGCAGTTTCTTTTTATTTAACCAATGACCTTCCTCCATCACATAATGAGAATTTTTAATTTTCTTTTTCTTTTTCTTTTTTCTTTTTTTGTTTGTTTGTTTGCCAAGACAGGGTTTTCTTTGTAGCCCTGGCTGTCCTGGAACTCACTCTGTAGACCAGGCTGGCCTCAAACTCAGAGATCTGCCTGCCTCTACTAAATGCTAGGAGTAAAGGCATGCGCCACCACCGCCTGGCCCAACACATTGAGAATTTAATAAGCCAAGAGAGTAGGTCTCTGCAGTCTCCCCCACGGGAAAATGGGTTCAGTGCAGAAGGGAGCCAGCTAAGGTGACCTGAGGAACTAGTTAGCATGTTTTCTCTCTAATAGAAGCAAGGTTTTGTTATCAACTGACAGAATCACCTCCTAGAATATATTTTTCCTTCTTTTAATAATTTATTATTATTTTATGCACATCATGTTTTGCCTGCATATATGTCTGTATGAGGGTGCCAGATTCCCTAGAACTGAAGTTTCAAGACAATTGTGAGCTGTCCTGTGGGTGCTGGGAATTGAACCCAGGTCCTCTGGAAGAGCAGCCAGTGCTCTTAACCGCTGAGCCATCTCTCCAGCCCCTCTCCCCCACTTTTAAGGATTTATTTTTATTTGCATGTATGAGTGTTTTAGGCCTACATAAGAGTATGCCCCATGTGTGGAGACCAGAAGAGGGCATTAAAGCATCTGGACCTGGAGTTAGGTGGCTGCAAGCTGCCATATGGGTGCTGGGAACCAAACCTGGTTCCTCTCCAATAGCAGGAAGTGCTCTGAAGAACCACTGAGCCGTGTCTCCAGCCCCAGAATAGAGATTTTTCAAACACGATCCTTTCATGGCTGGACTAGGAAACAAAATTTCCTTAAGTTCCTACAAACAAGAGTTACATATATTGGGCTTGAAAGATGACTCAGCAGTTAAGAGCACTGGTTGCTCTTCCAAAGGACCCAGGTTTGATTCCCAGCGCCCACATTGGTGGCTCCCAGACATCTCTAACTTGACTTCCAGGGGATTTGGTGCCCCCTGCTGGCCTCTTTGCACCAGGCATATGATGTATGTGTGTGTGTGGGTGCAAGGAAAACCTCATACAAGTAAAATTTTTTTAAAAAACACAGTCTTTGAAAGCTTTCAATTTTATCTTATATTTACTTATAGTTAGGTTGGTATGGTGCTTGCCTGGCTTGCCCAAGACTCTGGGTTTGGTCCTTATCACCACATAAATCAGGCGTGGCAGGCCAGGCCTGTCATCCTGGCACTCAGAAGTTTGAGGTCCTCAGCTACATAGTGGGTTTGAGACCATCCTGGAATATGTGAGACCCTGCCTAAAAGAGACACAGAGAAGGGCAAGGGTTGGGGAGATGCCCGCCTGTCGCACAGCTGATTGCGTTCCAGATAGAGCTGTAAGTCCCAACGCTCCCAGCCTTCCCAAGCAGTTGGTCCTGGAGTCTCTAACTGCAGACAGTGCGCACCCTCACCCCCATCCTGCCACTATGGGCAGGAAGATGCTCACTGGATACGCTTGGCGAAAATGAAGTGGAGCCGCTCTATGGAGGGTGTAGCTCAGGGGTAGAGCACCTGCCTCGCACAGCACATGCGAGGTCCTGGGCTCCATCCCCAGCAACACAAGAGACAAGAGATCTGTTGGACTTGGTGAGAGCTTTTGACAGGTGGGCCTGTAGGCTGATAGGCTGGGTTTTATTTGTGTAGGTCAGAGGAATGTGGAAAGGGGAGGTTGCTAAACATGCAAAGCTCCTTGAGGCCAGCGAGAGAACTCATTTGTAGCCAAGCCCGATGACCTGCGTTTGATCCCTAGAACCCACATGATGGGAACGAGAGAACCTAGCTACTGCGAGTCCCCTGGCCTCCGTGTGCTCCCCTCTAGGCCAGAGAATTAACAAATCAATACTAAGCTGCTGCTTTGGAGCTGGAGATGGCTCCGTGGGTGAGCTGAGTTTTTAAGCCCAGCTTTGCCCTCTAGTGTCCACAGGGAAACACTTCCCAGACTGTGAGCCAGCTAGGGCGGAAAGAGCTCACTAGGGACCCAGCTGGGACGCAGAGACCCAGGCAGTACCCAAGAGTTGACTCATTCCTGGAGGCAGCTTCATTAGCTCATAAACCCCATTGCTCTGAGTCAGGCAGGCTGGGGAAAAGCACGACCCAGGTCTACCTGCCTCGCATCCTGTGGTTGGAAGCCTGAAAAGGGGGGGGAGGGGGGTCTGTCGAGCTGACTCAGTGGGTAAAGGCGCTTGCAGTGCAAGCCTGATGACCTGAGTTCGAGCTCCAGAACCTCCGTAAAAAGCACTTGCACCCACACACAAATAAGTAAATGTTTTTTAAAAAAAAAGGATAAATACAGCCTTTGGAGGACGCAGGACATAGAAATTCAAACTACAGTGTTGGAGCATTTGAAAGAAGCCAGAACTGAACTGGAATGTGGCTCAGTGGCAGAGGACTTGCCTAGCATGGATGAGGTCCTGGGTTCTCTACCCAGCACCCCTGGGGTGGGGGCAGCAGGGGAGACACTTGAGCATGATTGCCTCCCGACACTCAGGAAGCTGAGGTAGGATTGCTGCCGGTTCAAGGTCTACCTGGGCCACATAGTGAGACCCTGTCTGAAAAACATCAAAGATTAACCCCATGGTAGGGCACTTAGCTAGCATACACAGGATTCTAGATTTGATTCTTGGTACAATTAATAAATTAATTCTTTTGTTGTTGGTTGGTTGGTTGGTTAGTTGGTTTGGTTTTTTGAGACAAGGTTTCTTTGTGTAGCCCTGGCTGTCCTGAAACTTCTCTGTGGACCAGGCTGGCCTCAAACTCAGAAATTCATGTGCCTCTGCCTCCTGAGTTCGGAAGCAGTGCCCACTTTCCTAATTAATTTTTAAAATGAATTAGGAGCTGGAGGGGGAGGGCTGGAGAGATGGCTCAGAGGTTGAGAACACTGACTGTTCTTCCAGAGGTTCTGAGTTCAATTCCCAGCAACCACATGGTGGCTCAGTCATCTATAGAGATCTGATACCCTCTTCTGGCATGCAAGCAGACTTGGAAACTAACACTGTATACAAAATAGATAAATCTTTAAAAAATAAAAACAAATTAGGAGCTAGGACTGTAGCTTGGTTGTTGGAGTGTTTATCCTGTATACACAAAAGTCCTAGATCCGATTCCTAGCCCCGTGTATTCCAGGCATACTTGTAACCCCAACACTTGGGAGGCTGAGACAAGGGGAAAGAGGAGAGTTCAAGGCCAGCCTGGGCTACATATTGAGAGCATCTCAAACGAGAGAAAGGACGAGAGGAATGCCATATTGCTGAAGAGACAGGCATCCGTCTAGGACGTGCAGGTCCAACTGCATGACATGAAGGAAAACAGCCAAGATGAGGGTGGCAGTTTACCACACTGGGGAGCTCAAAAGACCTGGGCCTCACCCAGCACTTTAGGAGATGAAGTCTCCCACGCTGGGTGGTCATAGGAAAACTGGGCTGACTCAGTGAGTCCAGGGGGTGCCTTACCCATCATCTCTCCACCCTCCACAGTCACCCCTCACCTCCATCTCCTCTTCTGCCCCTTGCCCCTGGTCTCACCCCGGCTTCCTTGTTTTATCTCATCATCCAGGGAGCGGCCAGATGTCTGCATTTGGTGCTGCTCCTCTTGCGGCTGGCACCCAGCCCAGCAGCCTCGCAGATGTGGGTGGCCTCCTGGGACCCAGGGTGGCAGCTGGAGGTCTCCCTGGCAGGTGGGTCCAGACGTGAAGGTTGGGGGCGTTGTCCCAGGCTGATAGCGCCTTATGGCCTGCTTGTCTTTCCCCTTGGCTTCCCGGCCTGATCTGGGGTAACACAGTGGGCTTGCCTCCTCGGGCACCCTTGCCCTGTTTCTCCTGGACAGTGCCCATTCTCACCTCTCTCCCTGTGCCACAGTGTTTTCGGGATACCCAGCCAGGTCCCTGCGTTACAGTCGTCTGTGCCAGGCGTTAGTGGCAATGCAGCGCTCACCTTTGGAGGTGAGTCCTACCCGTGGAGACCCGGAAGGGGGGTGGGAGAAGCACCCCTAAGATTGAGAGAACTCAGACCATCTTTTTTTCTCCAACCTCTCTGCTGTCTGCAGCCTTCACCAACCCCTTCGCCACCCCTGCCCAACCCCAGCTGCCTTCTACCAACCCATTCCAGCCCAATGGCCTGGCCTCGGGTAAGTCCAGAGCTGCCTTCCACCATTTCAGAGAGCAGAGTCCCCTAACCCTGTGGCTCTTGCTACCCAAGGAGTAGTCAGTCGCCCACTCCCCCCACGTACCCCATCTGTCCACTAGCCCAGGCTAGACCCATCTGCAGGTCCAAGCCACCTAGTGATCTGAAAGCAGAAGCATCCCTGTCATAACACACAGAATTCCCCAGAAAACTCATGCAGGTCAACATGGTGGTGCCCCCACACCCCCCAGTCCCATAGTTCTAATACTGCCTAAGGAAAAGGATCACAAGTTCAAGGACAGGCTGGGGTGCACAGTAAAGTCCAGGCCACCCTGGTCTACATAGTGAGACCTAGTCTCCAAAAAGAAAAAAGGAAGGAGAGTCAAGAAAGAAGGAAAGGGTGGGTGGAGAAGAGGGAGGAAAGAGGAAGAAAGAATGTCTTTTCCCCATTCAGTTCCCATTGGCTGACCATGTCGTGATGCTCTTGTTTGCAGCCCCTGCCCGGATGCCTGGGGGATCCACCCTGTCTCCCATCAGTGCCCCTAGAGCCACAGTGAAATCAGAGATCCTTATCCCCTGTCCTGAGCAAGGCCTTGTGGTGCCTCCCCACTTACCCTCCACAGCCTCTAGAGCGTCCCTCAGACTCCTCTGACCCCCTTAGCTTGATGGAGTCTTGGGGCCAGGAAGATAGGAAACCACCTAGGGAAAGCTGAGTCACATATATTCTGGGTGCCACATCCGTTAGAGGTCACAGTGGCCCCGTGAGGTGGGTGCCACGCCCACATTAGGGATGAAAGAGTGGGGCTGGGCGTGGTGACAGAGGCCTGTCCTCCCAGCACAGGTAGAAATAAAGGTCGGAGTTCAAGGTCATCTGGCTGTGCGCAGTGGACAGCTTGGGCTACGTGAGAGGGGAATGGGGGAGGCAGAGAGAATGAATGAGATAAGACACAGATCACCTTGTCTGTGTCCTTTTTAAGGGGCCCAGTTTGGTGTGGCTCCAAGCCAGGAGCCCCGAGTGCAGGGAGATCACAGGGTCGGAAGCTTTCAGGGGTAAAACTGAATTGCTTTGTGTATTCATCCAAGGTCCTTCACTGTGGGAAAAGTGACCCCATTCCCCACAGAAAGGGTTTAGGGGTAAAAGCAACTGTTGTCATCTCACCTGCCTAAAGGTCGCCTGAGTGTCCCATCTCACCCCACAGGGCCTGGCTTCGGGATGAGCGGTGTTGGGCCTGGCCTCCTTCAGCCGGTGCCACCCACCGGGGCATTCGCCAGCCCCTTTCCTGCCCCGATGTTCCCCGCACAGGCTGCACTGACTGAGCAGCAGAACGGTAAGAGGGCCGGGTGTGAAGCCCCCTCCCCTGTGGTTCCCAGCGGGCGTCAGGCAGCACAGCCCCTGAGTATGTGTGTGGTCTGTCCAGGCACTCAGGACCCCACAGATGCTCCTGATGTAAATGGTGTGTCATTTCCACACAAGCCCTGAACACTCAGTGTGCACACCCAGCTACCCAAGAGACTAAGGCGAGTTCAAGGCCTGACTGGACACTTAGACTCCATCTCGAGAACTGAAGAGGGCAGGGGTGTAGCTCGCTGGTAGAGCTCTTGCCTAGCGTGAGCGAGGAAGCTAGGCTTCATTCCTAGTACAGAAAAGGAGGAATCTACACGTGTGTGCCCCCGCGCTCACACACACATACACACACCTCTCCATATGTATATTCTTTTAAGAGGAATTTTATTTTGTATTATTTTACTTTGTTTTTCCTGCGTGTCTGTGTAGCGTGGGCGTGCCGTGCCTGAAGAGGCCAGCAGAGGGCATCAGATCCCCTGCACTGGAACTGTGAATGGGTTCAGCCTTCACCAACCTACTGGGATTTGAGCCCTGGTCCTCTAGGAGAGTGGGCCTGTGTTCTTATACTTTTTGTTGTTTTGTTTTGGGGTTTTATTTTTTGTTTGTTTGTTTGTTTGTTTTTCTTTTCGAAACAAGGTTTCTCTGTATTTCTCTGACTGTCTTGGAACTCACGCTGTAGACCAGGCTGGCTTCAGACTCACAAAGATCCATCCGCCTGCCTCTGCCTCCCTGAGTGCTGGGATTAAAGGCGTGCGCCACCACTGCCCAGTCTTTTTGTGTTCTTAACTGTAGAGCCATCTCTCCAGCCTTGGCTTTATGGTTTGTTGTAGTTTTGTTTTCGAGACAGGGCTTCTCTCTGTAGCTCTGCTGTCCTGGAACTCACTCTGATTAACATTTCTTTGGGGGTTGGGGTGCACATGTCACGGCACTGCTATGAAGGTCAACACAGTTTTGTGATAGTCGGGTCTCTTCCTCCATGTGGATCCTGGGGAGTGACCTCAGGTTTGGCAGCAAGAGCCTTTACTACTGGGTGCTGAGCTGAGCTGAGCTGAGCTACCTCACCAGCCCTCTTTGGTTTGCAGTATGTAGCCCAGGCTACCACTGAATTCATGATTGTCCCACCTCAGCCTGCCAGGTGCTAGGGTTGCCTGAGTGTGCCACTCCGTTTGGCTGTTTATCATCTAGTGCAACAGAATGCCATGCAAATAGCAGTTAAACTGTATTAAAGAGCTGACAAGAAATTGGGGGGGGGGGGGCAATGCATGTTAGACGTAATTTTTATCTTTATTTTATGTTTGTATGGTTGGTTTTGCTTTTGTTTGAGACAGGATTTCTCTCTCTGTAGCTGTCCTGGCTGTCCTGGAACTCGCTCTGTACACCAGGCTGGCCTGGAACTCACAGAGATCCACCTGCCTCTGCCTCCCAAGTGCTGGGATTAAAGGCACAGGTGCCACCATTGTCCAGAGGCATATTTTTTATTATTTATTATGTATACAACATCTGTCTGTGTGTATACCTGCAGGCCAGAGGAGGGCACCAGACCCCATTAAGATGGTTATGAGCCACCATGTCGTTGCTGGGAATTGAACTCAGGACCTTTGGAAGAGCAGGCAATGCTCTTAACCTCTGAGCCATCTCTCCAGCCCCCCAGAGGCATATTTTTTATTTTTTTATTTTTTTTTTATTTTTTGTCAAATATTTATTTATTTATTATGTATACAATATTCTGTCTGCATGTATGCCTGAAGAGGGCACCAGACCTCGTTACAGATGGTTGTGAGCCACCATGTGGTTGCTGGGAATTGAACTCAGGACCTTCAGAAGAGCAGGCAATGCTCTTAACTGCTGAGCCATCTCTCCAACCCGAGGCATATTTTTTAAATTGAACTTTTATTTATATGTATGTGTGTATCTGCGTGTGGGTATTCCCAAAGGCCACAAAAAGGCACCAGATGCCCGAGAGCTAAAGTTATAATCTGTGAACTATCCAATGTGGGTGCTGGGAACCCAATTTGGGGCCTCTGAAAGAGCAATGTGTGCTTTTAACCAGGTGCACTCGCATGCACACCCATTCAGGCACGAACACCTTCACATGCATGCGCACACATATAAATACAAATTTAAAAAATTTTAAAAATAGTATTTTTTATTTTTGTGGGTTTTTTGGTTTTTTGTTTTGTTTTTTTGAGACAGGGTTTCTACTCTACACAGCCCTGACTATCCTGGAACTCACTCTGTAGACCAGGCTGCCCTTGAACTAAAAGATCGCCTGCCTCTGCTTCCTGAGTGTCAGGATTAAAGACATGAACCACCACCGCCTGGCCAAAATAAATATTTTTAAAGATATTTTTTCAGTTCATAGTTGCTTGAACCTTAGGAAGACAAACTTCTTGCGGGGCAGGTAGAGTGTCGCCTGAACTGTACACACAGAGACTCTTCTGACCAGTAGGGGGACCAGATGAACCACAGACCTGCCTGTGTCCCCTGATGGCTCCATACTTTTCTCCCGAGAATTCGGGAAGGGTCCCCCCGGGTGTTCACTAGAGATGTAGCAAGTGGCTCCCCTCCAGGAAGGTGACAGACACACTCAGCCAAATTATTATCCTTGCCTCCCAGGCTCTTCCTTTGGCGACTTGGGAACCTCCAAACTGGGGCAGAGGCCTCTGAACCAGGCGACTGGGATCTCCACTAATCCCTTCATGGTGAGCACCACACTGCGGCATCGGAGACACGGCTTTGCAGAAGGCTGTAACGTGGGGCGTAGCTAGGATGCCATCCGTGAAGCATGTGTGTTCTCCCTTGCACTCACAGAGGCCAGAGGAGGGCTTGAGGGGTCCTCCATCGCCCACCACCTCCTTTTCTGGACCCAGACAGCCCGACCTGCGGCCAGCAAGCCTCCTGTCGCCGTCCCCAGAGCACTGAGGCTGCAGGCACACCAGCTTTCTTCTTGGGTGCTGGAAACTCCTGCTCAGGCCACCATGCTTGACAGCAAACGCTTTTACTCCTAGAGCCAACACCCCTCCTCCCTTGTCTGAGACCGAGTCACAGTTTGTAACTCAGGCTAGCCTAGAACTCATGATCCTCCTGCCTCCGCCTTCTGAGTGCTGGGTTTTCAGGTGTGCATCGCATCACCACACCCAGCTCTCAGGTCCCCTCTGTGTCCCCCTCCCTTCTCATCCCTCCCCCCCATCTTCCTTGCTCTGTGAGCCTCAAGCACAGTTGTTCTGTGGCCTCCAACAATCTCCCCTCCTAACCTATTAACCTTCTGCTTTCTTTCCAGACTGGATCCTCAGCATTTGCCTCCAAACCTCCAACCACAAACCCATTCTTGTAGCACTGTGTCCTTGGGGGAAGAAGGGGCTCCCCCATCCTTTGTGGAGGAGGCTCTGACATCCCCTGAGAGCCCTGGTGACCATCTGCCTGTGGGGCATCTCTGTGGGTCTGAGGCTGGGGTTGGGCCTGCTTTGCAGGGTTAGGGACCTGGGAATGGGAGGTGCTGACACGGGGCTTGTGGATGAATCAGACTGCGGCCTCCTGGCCTGCTGCCCAGAGGCTTCCTCCCTGCTCGCTGTCACCTACCCAGGAAGGAGCCCAGAAGGAGCGAAGATACCCTTGCCAGGAGGCCCCACAGTGGGTATTTCTGTCAAATTATTGAGTCTGAAGACGGGTCTCTATCTTGTCCCTCCTGGGCTGGAGTGAGAGAAGTCAGGCGCAGCCCCCATGGCAGCCTTCCCCGCCCCAGGGAGCTGCTGCTCCAGGCCCAGCTTCCAAAGCTGCCTCACTTCTCCCAGATAGAAGCAGCGCCGGGAATGTAGGGTAAAGATGAGGCTTGGTGTTGACAGCCTCCAGACAGTCCTGGAACTGGGAAGCTTCTGGTGTCCAGTCCTTTTGTTTTCCTGGCTCAGCCACACCCTCTTTTTCCACCCTCATCCTCCCTCCCAGGCAGCCCCTATGCTAGCACTCAGGACGGGGAGCTTTATCCACAGAGCACGCGTGCCCGGCTCCTGTCAAGCACTTTAGTTAGCCCTGTCGTGTTTGGATACCAGTGTTTTATATTTATAAATAGAGAATTTTCTAATATAGCCTATTATATACATACATATATATATATATATGCACACACATATGTAAACAGATAGACTCCCAGCCATTCTTCCTCTCCCAGACAACCCTTTAACTCGGGTATGGAGCTGGGCTTGCTGCGGGCCTGTACTCCTAGAACTTGAGGGACTAAGATAGGAGGATCATGAGTTCATAGCTAGCCTGGGCTAGAGAGTGAGTTGAAGGCTGATCTGGGCAATTTAGCAAGACTGTCTCAAAAAGGTAAGAAGTAAAAAAGAGGGCTCAGGATATTGTTGGGTGATAGAGTCAAGCCTAGAATCCCCCAGTGAGGGGCTGGGGTATGGCTCAGTGGCAGAGCCCCTGCCTAGAATCCCCCAATGAGGGGCTGGGGTGTGGCTCAGTGGTAGAGCATAGTGGTAGAGTAGGATTCTCCTGCAAACTTGAGGAATAGAGTAACCCATCTGTGCCTGGATAATAAAACCTGGAGCCCAAGGGGTAGAGGAAGGACAACCAAGTGTCCTCATTCTCCACAACACACACAAACACACATGAAGAGTACCCAAGGCCTAGGCTTTTCCAGTGGAAGGTCTGTGATTGGCTGGGGCGTTTGTTCTTTTCTTCCTCCACATTCCTCCCGCTGCTCCCAAAGATCTGCACCAAAGCTTGTTTGGAGGCAATGTTGGAAAAGTCTGCATTTGAAAGAAGAAAAAAAAAGTGGCTCTCGGTGTCTTGCTTTGTGCCAGCTGGAGTGGACACAGGTCAGTCAACACGACTGATCCTTGACTTGGCTCTTCCGATCTGCAGCGCCTGGGCCGATAAACATGTGACCGCTACCAGAGGCTGAACTGTGTACCCTCTGCTAGCGAGAGTCAGGGATGAGTGAGGGTCCCCATCTGGGGTTGGAGCCCCGTGGCCGGCCACGGGGTAGGCAGGGAGGCAGGCGCCACAGGGAGATGGATTTGTGAGTAAACAGGACCCTACCCCCACCCCAGAGTGTCCTCGGCACCTCCAGCAGTTCCTTACCTGGGGCTGTGGTGTCGGTAGCCAGGTGTTCGCAGGGGATAAATACTGCCTCTAGCGGAGAAGAGAGCCAGGCCTTGGCCTTGTTGTTTACCCCGGGAGGCCTGCGCCCGCCCCTCCCTGCAGACCTCAGCCAAGAGTTCCTGGCCCGTTAAACTGTTCATTCTTAGGATTTCTCTGGGCCTTCCGCAGGGACTGGCAAAGGGATGTGGAATTAGGTTATCAGTTTCTTTATAGATTTTTCTGGAAAGATTTCTAGCTCCTGCTATTTGCTAAGCCAGGCTTGGCCTTCCCTCTTTGCAACAAGATTCAGTCCCTCACAGTTTCTTACTAGCCTAGCCTCTTCCCTCCTTCCATCTCTTGGGAGTGGGGAGGAGGGAGGTCATCCAGCTGGCTCCTAGCCTTTGTACCAGATTTTTCTGTATTTACTGTTTCCCTTCTGATTTTTTTTTGGGGGGGGGGTCATCTTTAGTATCACCCTACCCCACCAGCACCAAGCATGTGTAGCTTAGGCTATCCTTAGTGTTTGGGAGCTAAGGTTCCTGGTGTGTACCCCACCACCACCACCACCCATACCAGGCTATCCCTCCTGCTTCTTGCTGCTGCTGCTGGTGGTGGTGGTTTTGAGCCAGGATCTTGCTGTGTAGCCCTGGCTTGCCTGGAACTCGCTACATAGCCTGGGCTGGTGTCAAACTCACTGGGTAACCAATATGACTGGATTTCTGATACACTTACCACACAGGTTTATGAGGTGCCCGGGATCAGGCCCAGGCTTCTCGCATGCTGGGCAAGCACGCTCCTGAAAGAGCCACGTCTCCGGGTGCTTCCCTTTCCCCTCATTCTGCCTGAAGCCAGGAGTCCCAAGCTTATTTTACCCGGCTTCCCCGGCTCTGGCTCCAGATCACTTGAGTTTTAAAAAGCCCTAAAGCGAGGCCCCATTTGCCCTCTGTGTAAAGTCACACTGTGCCTTCTCCCAGGACCTCCTAGCTGCCATCCCTCCATCCTGTCCTGTCCGACATGGACCCTGGCCAGCGTTCTGGGCAGGGCTGGATGACTGGGCTGAGAATCTACCGGGGGTTAGCCTCAAACATTTCCTGGGCATGGGCTGGGGCTGAACCACTGTCCTTGGCAAGGAAGGGCCCAGCACCCTCGTCCATCTAACCTCCCCAGACCAATGGCAGAAACAGCGGAGGCGCACCCTGATGGGGTGTGTTGCCTTCGTACAGCCTCACCTGACTGCTGTGAATCCAGGTGTGTGTGCGTGTGTGTGCACACGCACGTGCACACATCACACACAGACTGGAACAATGCATTTGGCTCATACACTCTGGCCATGTCCTCTCTGTACGGGCCCTGGCCAATCTCTATCCATACCATGCAAGTGACAGCCCTCTGGCTCAGGTCTGTCAGTCAGCCATGGGCAGCCTCTGTGGGTAACAAAGCAGAAGCTGAACCTCAGGGGTCTTCTCCGCGTGAGAGCTAGAAGGTAGGATGATTGAGGGAGCTCACTGTATAGCTTGGTCCCGTACCCCCATCCCCACCCCTCCACCCCCACTCCTCTCCACACACACACCCAGAGAATAAGCCTTCACAGGGACCATCCACAGCCCCTACTAAATGGATTTCTACCCCTGCTAACAAAAGTCTTCCATAGACGTCATGTGCCTCCAACCTAGCAAAGGCCTAAATTTGCCACTTCCTGGGTTGCTGGGGTTTCAGACTATAAAATATTGTGCTTAAGTAGTACCAAGAGTGGAGTTGTTGCTATGACAACTGAGATAAGCCAGGCTTTCCCTGGTACCCAACAGACCAAGTCACCTGGCACCGCTTCCGTCCCTTTATTCTTGCTAGTCTACACCCCGGGTGCTTGGATGGCTGCTGTTTCCTGCTTTATCTTTTACCCAGCACTCCAGGGCTGAGTGACAGAGTGTTTAGAGCCGCCTGTGACAGCAGCTGTGATTTCACAAGGACAGATGTTTGCGAGATGACCAGGCTCAGGGATCAGGAAGAAGATAGGGAGAGACCCTTCCTGGATAGCTTCAGTCCTGAGGGAGTGAGACTCCTTCTTTTGCCATGGAGTCCTGCTCGCTAACTGGCTAGAGAGCTGCGATCCCCACTGCGCGTCCCACTCGGGGGCTCTGGGGTTACAGTTGTGCGTGACCATGTCCAGCTTTCAGGGCATCCTGAGGACCCAGCTCAAGTCTCAAACCTGCACAAATGCTTTACCCACACACAGGGCCATCTTCCAGGACCTGCCAACTGAACTTTGGGCATTTCTTTCAGCCCTGCCTGGGTGGGGCTCTGGCAGGCCGGGAAGCCCCTGGGGCAGGCCTCAGGTATTAGATACCCATACGTATGATGATGGTATTGGCTAATTGCTGTCAATATGGTGTTTGGAAAGGTGCCTAACAAGGCCCAGCTTCATGATCAGGGCAAGTGAGCTCCCCACTATCCCAGGTTACAAATGGGCATGGGCCTCTGTTTGAGCCACCCTTGGACTAGCCTGAGAAAGAGACCCGCGTTCCCCTGCTTCTGTTTACTTGTTACATGGGTGCCTTACCTGAGGGAGCCCCTCCCCGAAGTACCCCAACAGGGTCCCGCAGCTTAGCCTTTTCTCCAGATCTGCAGCTTCCCTCATGGAGATTTTGATTGCCACAGCATTAGGGGGTCGCCATGTCTGCTTAGGCACCACTACTTGTCAACTAAGCATTGACAAAATGCGCCATGCCGCTCCCAACCCCAGAAAAACAAAATATCCAAGGGGCTGGGGACATAGCTCAGATGGTGAATGCTTGCAGTGCAAACCTGATGGCCTGCTTGATCCTCAGAGTCCACATAAAGAGCGGGGATCACGGCATGCCTTGTAATCCCAGTACTCCATTAGCAAGATAGATGACCACTAGTCACCAGTGGTGGTCCACACCTTTAATCCCAGCACTCAGGAGGCAAAGGCAGGTGCATCTCTGAGTACGAGACTAGCCCAGTCTACCGAGTTCCAGGACAGCCAGGGCTACCACTAACCAGCCTTGAAGCTCCCAGGTCAGCATGCCTGGAGTACACAGCAGCACAGGGGCACTTTGAAGGTGTCCCTGAGAAACGATCTCCTCTTTTGCCGTGTCTCTCAGTGGCTACCTGGATGCATGGGAATCTGGAGGGTACAGCTCGTGACCGGGGACCAGTCTACTAGGTTCCCTATCCTGGGACATCCGTCGCCCCAAACTCATCGAGGAACCTGCGTCAGAACTTCTGCACAGTGTTCTGCAGCCAAGTTCCCTGAATAACTCGGGAGCAAAGGCACAAAAATCATCTCTGGGTGGGATGGAGAGGGACACTGAGGACCTAAGGGTGGAGGCTGAGCCGGGTGGCTGCTGTCAGGATGACCGGCTAAGCCGTTCTTCTAATTACCAGTCCCATCACTGCTCCACAGCTGCTGAGGCACCCTGGCTTTCTGGCTTTCGGGATTGCCCCAGGCTGCCCCTGGCGGTACTCCTCCACCCCCATATCCAGTCAGCTGATTGGTGGAGACACCCCCCGACTCCCCGCCCCTATGAAAGTTTGGTCCCAGCGGTGCAGGACTCCTACTCTAGCCTATGAGTCCCTAACCCAAGTTCCTGCACTCGGGCGTGGGAGGGTTAACTTGAAGGGGTGGAGATTCTCACAGGGAGGCTGACCTAACTGAGGCTGACCCAGCTGGGTCAGCCTTCCTTAGATCTAGGAGTCCTGGTGTCACTGGCCACTGGGACGCTTGAGTACAGGCTCCTTGCTCACTTCAAGTCGGGAGAGGGCGTGGGGAGATGCAGGGTAGCTAGAACGGTTGCCATCTCCCAGGTCTCTGCTACTCGTCCCAAGCTGGTGGTGGTTCAGGGGACCAGACCTATCCAAATCAGTCCTTCCGAGGGCACTTGATTGCCTTTGGTTGGAGATGAATCCGGCAGGTACGGGTCCTACAGTCTCCCCCGGGGCCGCGTCCACGGACGTGTCCCTTGGCCCACCATTTCCCTGGCCCTGCCCACCCGACGTGCGGCTCTGTGGCCACCTGCGGAAGCAAAAGTCCCAGCGCCGCCGCTTTTTCGTTCTGCGCGCCGACCCTCCGCGCCTGGAGTGCTACGAGAGCGAGAAGAAGTTCCTCGCCAGCGGCTGCCGCCCACCTCGACCCCGGCGCAGCGTGAGTCTGGAAGGCGCCTGCACTATCAGCAAGCGTGCGGATGCCCGCCAACGCCACCTGATCGTCGTCTATACCAGCGACAGCAGCCTGGGTGTAGCGGCTGCCAGCGAAGCGGAGCAGCAAGCATGGTACAGCGCCCTGCTGGAGGTGCGCGCCTCTGCCGCTGCAGCTGCTGCCACTGCTATGGGTGAGCCCTGGGACACGTAGGGCAGGGGTTTACCGACTTAGCTTATCTAAAACTCGTCTCCCCCAGATCACCAAAGGTTCAAATCTTGAGCTTTTTTTTCACACGTCTTGGTTTCTTGGGACACGGTGACCCCAACCCCTGCCTCTCACTGACTTGCCTATCTATTCTCTCCAGGTCTCAGTCCCCAAGAGGCCCCTGAGTCTTGGATCTTTGCCCCGTTCCAGGACGTCTGGCCTGTGACACTGCGGTCCAAGGGACTGGGGCGAGCACCAGGCCTGAGCAGCGGCACCTATCGCCTGTGCCTGGGTTCTGGGGCTCTAAGCCTCCTGCGGAAGCCAGGAAGCAAAGGTTCCAGAGACAGCCGGGCATCACCACCACCGGCCCTGCGCCTATCCTTGCTCAGTGTGCGCCGCTGCGGCCATGCAGACTCGTTCTTCTTCCTGGAACTCGGGCGCTCAGCGCCCACGGGTCCCGGGGAGCTGTGGATGCAGGCGCCTGATGCAGTGGTAGCCCAAAACATCCATGAGACCGTCCTGGCTGCCATGAAGAGGTTGGGGAGCAGTGCAGCCAGTGGCAAGGATGAGCCACCGTCTGCAGATCCTCCGAAGAGTGCTTCTGCAGCCCCTCCCCGGGTACCATACGAAACCCCCGCTTCTGCAGCGCAACCAAGAAGCCCGGGTGAGAGAGCAAAGCAGGACTACCTCAAAACCTTGGGAAGGATGGGGCCCGCACCCTCCTACAAGGGGCTAGATCTGGGCGGGGACTACATCACCATGGGAGTCAGGGATGACTACATGCACATGGCAGGAGGAGAGGTTGGTGACTACATGTTGATGGCACCCCCAGGCCTTCCCCCCATCCCTGCCAGGATAGCTCCTGGCAAATCGCTCCAGGATTGTGAGAGCACAGAGTACATGCCCATGAATAGACTCTCACCAGGGCCTTTTTACTACGAGTTCAAGGCCAAGGAGCCTGAACTGGGCCATCGAGGTGCCCTCTGCAGCGTTAGGGACAGATGGAGACCCACAGAGGCTCCGACTTGCTCTTCCCAGCTCTCAGAGGTATCTGGGGACTACATGTACATCCCAGACTGTGTAGGCATGAGCGGTGCTAAGCCCGGGTCCCTGGACAACTGCCTCAACTACGTGGACTTGGACCTAGTTCCTCCCCTGGAAGTGCCTGGAGCTGCCCCTGGGGAGAGTCCACATAGCTATGCCAGCATCAAGTTCTAGAACCTTCTGGGAGATGGTCAGGAAAGATACAAAAAGAAGAGAAAAAGTTGCTAGTGTACAGCTCAGCTCCCGCAAGGGGCCAAGGCCACCATGTTCCCTGTCAGGTGCTATGCTGCCCCCTTGCCTGCCACCACTTCCAGCCACACACTACCTACAAACCCTCAGAAATAGGTTCTCCCAAGAAATTATTTTTTTTTTTTGAGACAGGGTTTCTCTGTAGCTTTGGACCCTGTCCTGGAACTTGTTCTGTTGACTAGGCTGGCTTGAACTCACAGAGATCTGGCCATCTCTGCTTCCCAAGTACTGGGATTAAAGGCGTGAGCCACTTCTGCCCGGCGAATTTAGATTCTTTTAAGAGAGAAAGTTCTAGAACCTCTCTCACCCCACCCAAAAAAACAACCCTAAAGCCTTAAGAAGTTTTGGGCCTTCCCAGATGAAACCCGGATCTTATCTGTCTCAGGCTAGCTGTGGCCAAACCAGAAATGAGGATTCCCTACCCCAATTTGGACAGCCCTGTCCCCTAGATGTTGATAGCTAAATGTCACTGTGTCCCCCCAGCCCAAAGTTATCCTTACCCAACTTTTTCAAGTCAGATAGCTACTCCTAGGGCCCCAGCTCAAAAGTGATAGGAGCATCAGGGATCATGTTTGTACTCCCCAGTGACCTGGCTCCTGAGCCAGCCTCCTGCGGTGCCAGTCAAGCTCCCCTGACCGTTCCTGGGCCTGACCAAGCCAACCAAGTCCTTGCTTCCTACAGCACAGCCCGTCACATCCTGTGGACCCAATCACCCATTAAAGGTGCTCTGCACCCTGACTGTCTTGGCTCGATGGATTTCCCTGCCCCAGGTAGTGGGTGACATGAAGGACAGGCAAGTAAGTGTGGTGGCATGGAGGAGCCCAGCCTGCCTCCACACCCCACGCCCCACTGGCACCTGTTGTAGAGTCTGGTTCACAAACTAACTCTGGTTTATTATCAACAAAACAGCCTGGGGGAGAAGCCAGCACTCATGGAGGGAGGGCACTATAGATGGGGGGTATCTGGGGTCTGTGTGGGACATGGGTCAGTGCTTCCAGAACAGCTCTGGCCACCATTGGGGCCTGGGTCTTCAGAGGCAGAGACAGGGTCTGGGCAGCTGCTGGAGGTCAGAGGGCTTGCCAAGGAGTTAGAGCTCAGCTCGCCCTGGCTCATCTGCAGCAGACCAGCGAGGGCAATCATCTCTGCCTCGCTCAGCCAGGTGGAAGAGCAGGCCTGGGATGAGGAGGGATGCACAGAGGGGGACATGATGGCAGGTGGGAGCAGCAGCTTCCGAGAGCCCATTGCCTGAGAAAACAGGAAGGGAAGTTTGTCCTCCGACGCCTTGCATGGAGAGGAAAGGGAAGCCTGGAGGGAGGCTCCCTCTTACCTGCTGAGGGGGCTTGGACAGGTACAAGGGAATACGCTGCCCACAGGCGAGCAGAGGGTCCAAGAGAAAGACATCTTCATAGTTTGTCACCGGGAGCCCTGAGGAGGAGAGCCTGCTAGCTTGGTGGCCTCGGCCTTCCATCCTAGCCCTTACTGTAGCTGCTGCCCCAGAAATATCCCAGCTGAGCTGAGGGGCCAAGGAAAGTACCTGTATCCTTGGACACTTGCTCTTCTTCTGGATGCCCTGAGGTAGGGATCCTGCCCCAGACATCATACATAGGCCAGGAAGGATGACACAGTGTCCTGCCAGACAAGGATACGCCTGACCCACAGCTGGCCCCCTGCGGAGAACAGGAAGTGACTGAGCTCATCTTTTATGGCATCTCTGCTACCTGGAGACAGAGCCACAGATCCCCAACTCACCACCAGCTGAGGTCTCGCGTTAGACTCGTGGCCGGGATCCAAAAGCGGCAGTGGGGTCATCCTTGAGGGGGTGACCTGGGAGGTCACCTGGGAAGAAAGAGGTACTACGAAGGATAGAGACAAGATTAGAACAGGTTCTGAATCTCTGGGGCCTTGTGGGTAAAACCAGCAAGGCCTAGTCCCTACCTGGGGCTTCCGTGGTCGTGGTCGGCTCCGTAACCAGATGATTGGAGGCCAGCGGCAGCTTTCTTCCGGTCTCAGATGGGCTGAGGGCCTGGGGCTGTGGGCTGTGTGAAGGGAAGGACATGCTCTTCCACTTCCCAGTGCTGGCCTGAGTCAGTCACAGAGCCAGCAACCCAATTCCAGCACCGACCTCGGGGATGTTCTGTTTTGGAAGGCGCCCGCGCCACCTCCTAGCGGCCCGCACCAGGTCCTCACCTGTCCTGCACGGGCGCTCCTGGCTCTTCCGTGGTTTCCTCTCCAGAGCTCCATTCCCCGCCGTGGTCACTGCCCGTGGAGAGGCCTGACTCCTCTGTGGCCTCCTCCCGGCCTGAGCCCCATGGCCCAAGCCAAGGCAACATCCTGTGCCTGGTGGAGCGCCGGGCAATACCCACCACTGTGCCCGCGTGTGGTCCTGACTACATAGGCACCCAAGTCTTAGCTACCTCAGAGGTGTCGCCACGACGCCTGCGCGCCAGTTTCTACAGCCACGAGGTGCGCTCCCGCCAGCTTCTCAAGGGCTCCCCCTGGCGGCAGAGCCACGGGGCACTTGCGCCCTTACTGCCTCTCTACCCAGCACGGAAACATCACCAACATCACGGTCTACCCTGGGACCCACCGAGAGGACCCAGATCCCCAAGAAGCTCGCACACTCACAGACAGGCACACACCTGAGGGCCAGCCAACAGGCCTTTGGGCTTTTCTTTATTGTGTTTGACACAACACTCTTCACCCTGACCAGGGGCTGCACTCGAAGCAGTCCAAGGGCAGGGGGATACGCAAGCCCAGTGCTACACACAGGGCCGTGGTCACCAAGTCCTTGTTAATAGGCAGGGCCCAGGTGTCATCTGTTCCCAGGTCAGGTCCAATGGGTGTTGGGGCTAGCCCCAACCTCTACCCCTACGACTGCTCCAGAAGGGCGTGAAGGACAGCAGCGATCTGAGGGAGGCCCCTTCCAGGGGCCCCCTCCTCTTCCAGGATGTGGTGGGGCTGGCACAGGGACTCCTGGGGGGAGGGGCCCAGGTTAAGTTTTCCTCTGGCATTCCCCAAGCAAGGTTGGTGGGGTTGGGGTGGGGGTGGGGGCGCTCCTGGTAGACACTGCCCCATGCCTGGAGGCAAATGACACATGGAAGCAACACAGAAGGCTCAGGGGCAGGAGGGGTCTGTCATTTCCAAAGGGAAATGCTGTACAGGCAGAATGACATACACGGAGCCCAGGCAGGACAAGGCCTGGCGGCAGCAGGAGCTCACATAAGCACACACGGAAGAGACAGTCTATACAGTTTATACACAGAGCCAAGGCCCATAATGGGCCCACATCCCCTACAAATATAGAATTCTCTCTACAAAATAGAGATAATTTACCTCCCCCATAGCAGCCAATAGGGGGAGGGAGGAGAGAAGGGAAACAGCCAAGGTCTGTCATCCCTCTGGGGGACAGAGGGCTAAGGGAGGACAGGAAGGCACCCTCAGCACTAGTGGAGGAGGGGGCTGCTGTGGGCATAGAGTGGGGCTTCTGAGGTCAGTGTTTGTGGGGTCACTAGTGTCTTTGGTAGGGCTGAAGGCACCACCGGTGGGAACATGGTTGAACAGGACTTATAAATAGAAGGCGGGGAAGGAAGGGGCAACGTCGGTCCTAGGAGCCCAGGAGCCGAGTGTAGACGACATAGAGCAGCAGCATGGAGGCCACGTAGAAGAGGAGGAAGCCACCCAGACCAGAGGAGGGCTGGACTGGGAGAGGGGCCTTGCCCCCCACCAGGATCACAGCCTCCAGTATGGTCCGCAGTCCCTGGGTGGTGCCCCGGAGGAGATCCGAGGGCGAGCACAGGTCAGCCTGGGAAGGGAGGGCAGGGCAGATGGACAAGGACAAATCACAGATGTTAGCAGCATCAAGCCACAGACCTTCCCACCCTTCCCTCACAAACCAGGACCATAGCCAGAGCGGTACCAACATGCAGACATGCAGGACAAGGAGGCAGGAGAGCAGGGCAGGAGCTGTGAGGGGTGGGCCCAGGACGCATGCTCTCTGTAGAATTAGAAACCCCTGTGGATGGAGCTCCGCCCCTCGTGCACAGTGTTCAGCTGAGCCCTAGACACCAACATCTCCCAGAGCAAAGAGCAGGCCCCATACCTCAGGCACACCCATTTTTCGACAGGCTTCTAAGAAACTCTCCACGTTCTTCCGAGACTTGAGGGCACTGAGCTTTGGCTGGAGGTGGAGGAGGAGGAAGAGAGTTTGCACAGGCAGTCACACACACACCTGTCCCATCCCCTCTTCCTCCTCCCGGCTCCCACTGACCACAGCAGGTGAGGGCACATGAATGAACGGTACAGAGCGAGGCCGCAGCTGGTTGGCCAGCTGGCAGAGGATGACCCCATTGGCTAGAGCCTCTGCCAGGTCCTCAGGCAGGGGCTGCTGCAGCCGTGACTCAAGGACCTGGAGGCAGAGATAGGAGGAGCAGGTAGGGTCAGCAGGGAGCTCACTCCATCCCTTCCCCTCCTTGATGACAGTTCTAGGTCAAGAAAGAAGGGTCCTGAGGAAAGAAAGGGGAAGGAGGTGCCAGGCTGGGTCAGGCCTCTACCTATACGGATCTCACTCCGCTCACCTGGCGAAGTTGGGAAATCAGTTCCTTTTCGTCTATAATCTGAGAAAATGGCCGAGATCTCAAACTAGACTCCGGAGAGGAAGGGCCTAGGAGGAAAAGAAGGACAGGGATAGTTTTGCTTCACGGATAAACTTTGGAGCCAGCTTTCAACAGTCTTATATCAATACCACCTCCTGCCTGTAGATTCTCCATGAAAAGGGACAATACCCCGAGACACAAGTCCCAAGAGACAGGGGTCCTGAGGTTAGTGCCAGAAGGACAAAGACTCACCCGAGCCACTCTGAGAAGATGAACGGAAGAGGAAGCTGTTTGGTCTCTGAATGGAGCCCAGTGGCCTGGGAACAGGAGCTGTCATTGGGGGGGAAAGCCAGGGACAGGCAAGAGAGACATTCCCTCAGTGACTCACTCTTCCTTCAGGCCTCTACGTCCCAAGCACCCACAAGCCACCATCTAGAACACTGTCCTACCTGGTCCAGATGATGGAATGGAGTCCTGGGAGATGGAGGATGGTGTGGGAACTCCCTGCCCCCCTGAAACTCCCAGATGGGTAGCACTGGACTTCGGTGGGCCACTGAGGGAAAAGAAGGGGCTCAGAGAAGGCCATGAGGAAGGCGTAGGGAAATGGATCTCGGGAGGACACCTACTTGGAGGTGGCCTGCATGGATGAGGCCGAAGCACCCGCGGCTCTGATTCCCCGCTTCAGGACACTGGAAGAAGCAGACAAGCATGAGCTCTGCAGTCAGGCCAAACATTCAGAAGAACAGAGCCCAGAGAAGTTTGCATCTGCCTGCTGTGCAGCAGCCCCAGGCCCTCACCTGTCCCTCCTGGGGGATCCCCATCCCCCACTCTGTTGCTGCTGCTGCCTCCGCTCCCGCTCCTGCCACAACTGCAAAGTGTCTGGACGCCGCCTCTCCTCCCCTGCAGGCTCCTCCCGCCTGGCAGAAGACAGGGCAAGAGAGACCTTTGTCAGGTGAAGGGGAGGTCCCCGGGCTGTTGAGTATGGAGCAGACATGTGAGCTTGGGAGTTGGAATACCTGCTGCTCCACGTCCTCTCCACATCTCCTGCTAAGGGGCTTAATTCAGAAGGCAGCTGCTCCTGAAGAGAGACCAGCAGAGGCTGAAGAAGGCTGGTCCCCCAGTTGGCAGTGACTTCCTTATTCAGTGCCCTTCCCCTGGACAAGGGACGTAACTGGGTCCTCACCTCAGCTGCACTCCGCTCGTCATCCTCCCCGGGAACATGGCTGTCGATAAAGTCAATCTGCTCCATGTCTCCATCGCCTGCAAGGCAAGGGCACGTCAGTGAGCAAGCAGGAGGGGGCTTCCAGGCCCACACTCACCCCTCACCCTCCTGGGCAGACTCCCTTGCCCACCAGAGCCATCTTCCCTCTGTTGTCTAGGCCCCCGGGGTTCCTGGGCCAGCTCTGAGATCCGGAATGACAGCTCTGAGAAATCATCTGTGGACTTGAAGGCAGAGAGGCAGAGATGGGACATGGGCTCTGCAGGGCTGAGGACCACATGGGTTCAGGCCTGCAGAGTCTCAGACTGGGGTCAGGTAGTAGGGAGGAGGAGTCCCAGCCATGACCTCTTACTGGGAGGTATCTCTTAAAAGGTATTAGGTACAGGGTCCCCAGTACTAAGACCCTCCCAGTGATGACATTCCCAAATGTCCTTACAAAGGAGGTCCTTACCTCATTTCCTGACCACCTCTTGCTGCCGCTATCAACGCTATGGAAGCCTGAGTCCAGGCCACCATCATATCGACGTCCCGGAAATAAGTCTTCTGCAGGGCTGGAGCGGCAGGGAGACCTCATCAGCCCCAGGCTGGCAGCACCCCTACCCTCCCACTAGAATCCAGGAGTGGTCTCTGGTACCAAGAAGGGGATTCCTTCCCCTTATCAAGGGCCTTACCAAGGACTAAAACTTGGGGGACGGGAAGGGACCAGGTCCCCAAGGGCAGCTCCTCGCCGTCCAGCCTCCATCGTTAAGTACTTGAAGATGTGAAGCTTCCCCTTCAGACAGATCTGTGTGAGGGGCACCTGCATAAGAATGAGGTGGCTCCCCAGGCCTTACCGGACCCTTCTACGCTAACAACATCACTGTCCTCAAGTTCACCCAGGCTGCACTTTACCTGGGCAGGTGGACTCTGGAGGGGGTTGCTATCCAGCAGAATGACCTGCAGGTGCCTGAGGCGGCAGAAGGAGACCGGGATGCGGGAGACACGGTTACAGGAGAAATCCAGGCGGACCAGAGGAAGGTCCCCCAGCTCTAGGGTTGGGCAAGGGGAGAGTTAGGAGAAGCCCAGGCCAAGGTCTTGAGTTCTCTCCCTTGCCCTTGACTCTGACCAGTCAGTCACTTCATCACAGCCCCCACCCTGGCTGGCTCAGCTCATTTCCCAGAAATGACCTGCTCCTCTCCACACTCCGATCTGAGCTGAGCCCTGGCTACTTCAGCTCAGCCCTATGCATCCTCCTCCCCTGCCTGCCCCCACTGAAATCCACTGTGCATTCTTCACTAAGCAGCACAAGACACAAACCAACTGGTGATTACTGCACAAAAGCCTCCCATGCCACAGCCACGACTGCGGACGTTGGGTGGGTACACTGTGCAGGAGGGCACACAGTTCAAAGCCAGCCTCAGCTATATAACAGTTCAAGGCCATCCTAGGCTACAAGAGAGCCTGTCCCAAAAACCCACAATCAATCAATCAATCAATCAATCAGGAAGCTGTTTCCCAATCCCATGTCTTCT